GGGAGGAGGGGGAAGGGGGGGGGGAAACGTCGATGTGAAAGACACATCAATTGGTTGCCTCCCACACGTGCCCCTACCAGGGCCAGGGATCAAACCTGCACCCGAGGTACGTGCCCTTGACTGGAATCGAACCCGGGACCCTTCAATCTGAGGGCCAATGCTCTGACCACTGAGCCAAACCGGCTAGGGCAGTCCAGGTGATTTTGAGAGTGTGTTTATTAAATCTGGGGACAGTGAAATCAGGAAGGGCCTAGGATAGAAGCAGCAACAGGACAGCCTAGGTGGGGCTGCTTTGGCTCCCTAGAAATGTTACAGGAAAGAAATGAGCCAAGGTGGGGCTGCTTTGGCTCACTGGGAAGTCAGAGAAAAGGGGGCCTCAGAGACAGGACAGGTCAGGCAGTTAGCGTGGGACAAGCTGCTGCGGCCCATTGCTCCCTGACTGCAAGTCTTGTGGGGCCCCTCAGGGTTTAGGAGATGCACACCTGTGGCAGAAGTAGAGGGGGAAAGGAAAGGCATGGACTTGCTCCCAGGAGAGAGAGCCCATGCTGGGGCCTCTGTTTTGAGGGTTTTTAAAGGCTGGGAGTTTAGGGGCGGTCCCAGGGGAGGATCTAATAGAAATTCATCAGTTTTCTAGGTGCCCTCTTTCTGGGTCGGGTCGTGGTCTCCACTGATTGGTGGGCGCCAGGGCAGGGGGTCATTAGTCAGTGCAGCTGGTCGTGGTCTCTCCTACCTGGTTTTGCTGCTTTTCTGGGCCTGGAGCTGAAAAATAACCGAGGCCTAGATGTTATCTCTGGGGAGGTGACCTTCTGTATCTGCTGTAAATTGCTGGGCCAGTTTGTTCAGCTGTCTGTCTCAGTTTCCTCATTCCACTTGCCAAGAAATTTTTCTAGCTTCTTACTATCCTGCCTCTCAACTATATTGTGACATAGTTGAGGGGATGGACCCTGGGGCCAGGCTGCTTGGGTTCAGATTCTGGCTCTGCCACTTCCTAACCTTGGACAAGCCACTTAACCTCTCTGTGCTTGTTTCCGCACATGTAAAATGAGTTATTTTAAGGAATAAATGAGTCAATATATTGAGAGCAATTAGAATAGTGCCTGGTGCCTGCCGGGTGTGGCTCAGTGGTTGAGCATCAACCTAGGATCCAGGAGATCATGGTTTGATTCCCGGTCAGGACACTTGCCCGGGTTGCGGGCTTGTAGCCAATCAATGATGACTCTCTCATCAATGATGTTTCAACTCTCTCTCTCCCTTCCTCTCTCTGAAATCAATAAAGATATATTAAAAAAGACAAAAGGAAAAAAGAATAGTGCTCTGGCATTAAGGCAAGATGGCTGTATAGGAGTGCCTGCTTTGTGAAAGGCAGCTCCTCGGGCATGGTGTGGCAGCCTCCGGGCAGCACAGAACCCAGTGCCAAAGGCCACGTGGGGCAATGGAGGGATTGAGGCTGGAGGTTAGGAGCAGGCACAGGAGTGGGGGTGAAGGGGTCAGGTCTGTCGTTCCTATCTCCGGTGTCTGTGTGAGAAGGGGAAAATTCCTCCTCTTTCCCCTCTTAGTTCTTCTGGCTGGTCAAATAACTAAAATGGCATGAGACAGGCCCACAGGAGAAAACAGTCAAATGTGATTACCTGTGTACGTATGGGAGCTCCAGAAGCATATGGGACCTGAAGTCAGATGGGGCGGTGAGGGCTTACATGCCATCTTGAGCTAAAGAGAAAGGAAGGTTGTGGTTTGGAACTTCAACGGGCAGGAGAGAAGTTCACATGGAAATGGAAACCCAAACCTCTGGTACATAAATGTTTGCTGGGCCATCTTTAACAATGGGATGCAGAGAGGGCTTTGGCCAAGTTCCTCTCTGTCTCTCACACCTCATTCATATTAAACCCTAATTATCTACGGTGACGGCCCACTTCCCGGAGCAGGTCCTCTATCTAAATTCTTTTAGGCAGTTTGAGGAAATGTCAGAGGTTTCTCCTGAGTCTTTTGTTTTTTAAAAATAACCAGAGTTTGTGGTGGCAAACTCTGTTCCCCTTTACCTGGGCCAGTAGGATCTAGAATACTCGTTGAGTTACACGCCCTGTGCCAGGCTATCCTAGGGACTGGGGAAATGACAGTGAGAAAACCAAAGTTGCTGCCCTTGTGGGTTTCTGTCTCAATAGGGGAGATAGTGAACAGAAAGCAAATGGATACTAGTACAGCCTCTCTGAGGAGGTGGCATTTGAGCAAATCTCTGAACTGGAAGTGGAGGCTGTCCAGGTCCCAGGAAGGAGGACCTGGGAGGAGAAACTGTCAGAGAGGACAGCAAATGCAGAGGCCCTGAGGTGCAAAAGTGCTTGGGATGTGTGGAACCCACCAGGAGATGGCATGACTAGAGCAAAGGGAGCAAGGGGGACAGGGGTGGTGGTTACAGTCAGAGAGCCGGGCCCCACGGTCCTGACAAGGAGGTCGGCTTTATCTCAGCACGATAGGGAGCCATGGGAAGGTTTTGGGCAGGGGAGGTATTAGCTTCCATTTGTTAGCCAATCCTTCTAGCTGCTGTGAGAAAAAAGCAGGAATACTGGGAGGCCAGTGAGGAGCCAGGCGGGAGGTGATGACATGTGGGACTATGGTTGGGGCTGAGGGGATGGAAAGTGGCTGGGTTGGGGGGGTGGCATAAATCTGTGAAGTGTGAACCACCAATGATAGCAACTGTTAGGGCGGCTGAGGGCACTGGGCACAGAGTCTACATAGAGGAGGTGCTACTGTGCTGGCTTTTACTGTCAGGAAGTATTGGGGTGGCCAAACTGCCTGTTGGAAGGGACAAGTGGTAGATCCTGGAGCTCATAGCATGGCCTCTGGGCGGTGGTGGCTGCTCAGTGTATTGCTGGTTCATGCCAATGGCTCGATGATTTTCCAAAGGATAAACGAGCTCTTCCATAAAGAGCTTGTGGTGGTCTGTGACCAGTACATTGGGACCCTGTGAGGTGGTGATCTCCCTGTCTGGGCCTGGAGGCACCTGCGTTGGGGGATTGCTATGCTCAACTTGATCACCTCCACACTATGTCACCAGCCATTGCTTTCTTCACTTCCCTTTTCCCCTGGGAACAGCCTGGTTATCCCGAGGGACAGGAATGGCTCTTACCCTCTTCGAGCCTCTACTTCTCCATATTAAAAATGGGAGAACTGTAGGTGTG